GTTTCAAATAGGCACTCTTACGGGTGCTGAGAACAGACTGCAATATGAAGTGAGACCAGATAACAATTTAGGTGTTAACAGCCTTGTGCGTCTTTCAAGAACAGTTGTAAAATGGAAACCCTGAAATAAAACTCATTCTCAGAAAGTTCTGCTCTCAGACTACATGCAAAAATTTTCAAATGCTGGAAGTATCAATGCTTGAGCAGATGCCACAAGTGACATGTACTCAAGCAAAGCTCTGGAGTCTATAAGGTTACAGCAACCTTGTTTAGTTTAACAACTCATAAGAAAAACTGGGTCGTTCTTTGCTAACAAACCACCTTCAAGCAAAAATATACTGCACTGATGTTTTATTGGACTGTCATTTAAATGCTTCTCCTCTTTAAAATGATGATAACAACCTAAGTCAAAACACCTCCAAATGGTTGTTTAAGGTAGTTATTGAAACAAAATTAAAAGAAAAAGAAAAATTACCCTATCATTTTCTCTCAGATTTATTTCAGTCTTGTTTGTGCCATCAGAAACATGTCCCTACCGATAGCAAAGCATTCACTTTTAGCCACATTGCTTTGAAATGTTGCCATTAAGAAAGTCCTGTCAATTTCTCGCTGAAATTGACAGGACAGGCTTGTTCATCTGATGGTACTCTCACAGTGCTCAGCAAGATAAGAACGAGTTTCAACACATATTTTGTTCCATTAACATCAGTCTGCTCAGTCCAAACATCTCAGATCCTGCATCTCTACATTCTTCATTGGACTATAAGTATAAATCCACTTGTGTCCTCTCCATTTAATTCAATTCAAAACCACTTCATTGCTTCCAAAGGCCTACTAGATCTAGAAATAACTCACTTTATAAGTTTTGTAAAGAAAACCTGGATTTTATAATCTTGTAAGGCAAAGTCAATGTTGGTGCAACAGAAATTTATTCAAAGAAGTTTAAACTCTGATGGTATCTGGAGGTTTGAAAATAATTAGAAGAAAGTTATTGGAGTTTTTTTCTAAACTGCCAAAAAAATTAAAAAAAATAAATAAATCCATTATGTGTTTTTCTAAAGATATGAAGGACAGTAATGTCCACTTATGACTCTACTTTCCCTTTTGAAATATTTCACCAATTACACCACTGGCAGTCAGTTGATGGAAAGAAAGCTCCTGCACTACTTTATTGTTTAAAAATAAATATAATTAAGATGGAAAATAACTTCATAAAGTAAAGTAGGACCACTAATCCCACTTAGGTTAAAGCTAAGGTAAAATGTTACACATAGCTTTATCATAATTGTTTTATTTTTACAACCTTTAGCTGTAGTATAGAAATGTTTGGTTTTCTTATCAAGATGAAAAGGATTTTATCATCTTGTGATATTTTTAGGTAAACCTCACAACACTGAGGTATTTCTAACTTAAGGATATCCTACAGTGAGAATTTCATACCAGCTCATTGCCAGTAAAGTTTGTAGCTGTATAGGTTTTATTTGTCTTAAGAGCAATACAAGGTGAACCAAAATGGCAGAATCTATACTGGTGTGTATAATGATGACCAGTCGAGTAATTTTCATAACTCAAAAATCAGTTATTGTTTATGTAAAAAGCCCGGCATAAACAATAACTAAACAGGTTTCTCAATCTGGCATGCATGTTCTTTCACAATTTCCTGAACAGTTACCACGAGCGTTATCAGTTGCAGTCCACTCCTTTTCGTTTCTGAAAATCTATTTTTAAACACTTGGCACATCAGCTTAGATGCCTGCAGTCTTGATCGATGTTAAATACATAAAACATATGGGGAAAAATTGCAAGGCACAAATGTGCCAGACATGCTCAGCATTTAAACAGCTGACTGTTGATATGTTTTAAGGGCATACATGTGGACCCATTTCAAATCAAATACCTACAAAGAAGCACACAAAACTTAACACACTAATAAACTGCCAAAAGAAATCAAAACTCTAACCAAATGCATAAATACAGCCGTTAATAAGCCAATACGGCTTTGGGTATAATCTCAGAGTGGTGAACCAGTTGGCTGGTAGCCCGTGAACATTGCATGTCTCTCTAGGGGTAGAAAATGGCTTACCTTCCCCCACAGCCTATCATAAATAAATACTGCTACAGAAATATTTGGATAGCTCGAAACAGAGAAGTGTTGCACCACAAGACTGACAAAGCTCTTCTCGGGGACTTCCTTGCCCTACTTTTTAGCAGAGGATGCCTTTCTGCTTTAAACTCAACCCACCCCAGAGGCTCAGCTCTGTTGCCTCACACTGAACAGATTTGAATCTTGCTCTTCAAAAATAGATTTAAGGCACGACAAGAAGGACAAGGCAAAGTAGGTTTTTGGTTCTGTATTTCACTCAAATCAAAGACAGTGTCCTTATGGCGTGACTGTCATTGAACAAGACGATCAGAAGAAGACTGGCGACTTAAATAATAAACCGGAAGATAGTTTTAAAGTATCTGCAATACCTCGCTTACTACAGCTTCTTTGACACTCGATTAAAGGCCTACTTGCAGAACTATTAAAGGCCATTTGACTTTAACGCATGAAGGTACTATCGATATAACACCTGGGTCAAATGACTCAGGAGTAGCAAAAGCATTCATCATCTCCCACTCCGTCTAGCAGCAACTGAAACTTGACACCTAGACAGACATCTCAGTCATCTCAACCACAAATTTCATCTGCTTCCATTGAAGCAGGCATTGTATACAATTAAGCAATAAGTATGAAAAAGCTGACGTTAATGTGGGTGTACACTACGCTATTGTTTTTGGTATTCCCAAATTTCAATTTAAGAAAGTAGTTGTCACACATTATAACTACATAAGGCATTTCACTCTAATCAAGTTCACTATAAAATAAAAGAAGATGGGGGATAAGTGAGATCTCTGTTCACATCACCAGAAGTCAAGTTTAAACAGGACCAGATCTACATGTAATCTCTTGAATGCGCCCAATTTAGCAGTTTAAGTTGTCATTTTCATTCAGCATACAATTTAATTGGTTACCATTGCTGAACAGTTAATTTTTCTTGTATTTAATGTTACGAGAAATTATGGTGACAAAAAAAATAACAGAAATACAAAAATATTGTTTACAACATAGTGAATTTGTACATTATAACAAGCAATATCTAAAATAAACCTTATTTTCTTAAAGAAGTGTAAAACCTTCACTCACATCTGCTAAACAGCAAAGTGGTGAAGCATGCAGCTTCTTTAAGTGTTAATTGTCAGCCTTGTGTCTGGTGCATCAATAACACTTCAAACATGATAAATAGAGAAAAACATGCTACTGGCAATGTTATTACCCAGACTGAAGGTGGAATTCATTAAATTGGGGATTCTCATGTTAAGTGGCAAAATTCCCTCTAGAACTATCCATGGCTGAATGTTTGTCATATAAATTAGAGACAATGTGAGTCCTTATACTGTGACAATCAACAGCCATAAAAAGGGAATTAGAGGGAGAAAAGAACACTTATTATAAAAGAACACTTATTCCAACCCGTGTCCTCCCAATAAAGGAATTCTAATCAAATGCCGCAAGTAAAATTCTCAAGACCTTTTGTTAAGAAAACTTAACTGAACTCAGACAAAGACATATAAAACAAGTACTGACTATACAATTATTACATAAAGCATGGTAAAATTTTAACCTTGATACATAGGCACAAGCCAAACCGCACTAAACACTTGCTAAATTCAGCAGAAGTTTTTATATGCCTATGTCACAAAATATTATATCTATTCGCGCTCTGCTCTGTATGGACTAGAGCAACGCACGTCTAAAAAGCTGATGTAAGCGGGTTTATTATTCAGGCTATCAGCTCTGGTAGCAAAGTCTGCAGGCTTGAGCTTTACAAGCATGCTTTGTAAAGCTCACAACACCTTTAGAATTAAAGTGATTCCTGTGACGGGTGGCACTCATTTCACTTCCAACCCATGATCGTCTCTGTTGACAACAAATATTTTCAAAGTGGTTATAGTGTGATCTTTGGAACGTGTGGAATATGCATCAGCCAGCATTACCGTCACACATGGAACTACACTGGTTCCATCAAGATTGGGAGCATTTGAGGTGAATTTGCGACGGTGATCTACAGAGGATTAAGCCAGCTAAGCGGCAGTGCATAGCAACATGTGGGGGAGGGGAGATGTGGCACTACTATGCACCTCACACCGTTCATAAAATCTCTGATCACTTTCACATGACAACAAACAGCCAGGGCCATACTTGACAAAGTAACAGCAGTTACTGTATATAAAATTAGTTTGGCATTTGAAATTTGGGTCACTGACTTGAAGCAATCAAACATAGGGTGTTATAATGTCTTAATTAACATTTTTTACAGTCTAATGCCAGGTCAGACATGTTAATGGTGTACTTTGTTAGCTTTCTGTCCATCTCTCAAGAATTATGGTAACCAGGGTATATAATTCAGACCTGTCAATCACACTTCAGTAGGTTGGCAGCCTAAGCTTTAGACTGTAGTTATACAATAACACAAACTGTCCTTTGAAACTGGTGGCAGCCTCTTCTAGTTGAAAGTCTTCCCCTCCCCCACACATGCGCTTCATAACTCTGGATGCCAATATGATATTAGAACTACTGATATATAATCTTCAATAAAACAATACAGTGTATATTCAAATGGGGGAGGGCTTTTAAGGCGGGCATAGTTATTTAGTCACAAATTATGAAACAAACTTTAACCCATAAAAACTTACTGTAAATAAAGCAAGACAAGGTGGAGAATGAAAACATTTTTTTTTTTTTTTAATGTAGCTTGTTTTGGACACGCATTAGTAATTAAAGGACTTAAACGGGGATTTCACAACACACGTGTGGAGTGACTGGGGTTGACTAAAAAAGCTAAGAAACACACCGGCGAGCTCCTGCTCGAACGCCCTGTAATCTATTTTTAAGAGTCTTTGCAAAAAAGCCAGACAGAAAGAGCCGAGCAGTCAGCGCATCCTGAGCCTCTTACCCACCTTCAACTGTGAGAGTGAACTCGTGGTGTTCCGCCGCCGCCTCTCTCTTCCTCTTCCACAAGGAGAACCTCCAAACAACTTCAGTGCGCCAGCGAACACTTTCCTCCCATTTCCCCTGCCCTCATAATTTCAGCGCCCCGAAGAGTCAGTCGCAGTCGGCCCGGTTCGGCAGGGGGAGCGAAGCCGGGAAGCTTCTTTTTTTTTTTTTTTTTTTTTTTTTTTCGTCTGACGATACAAAAAAAAAAAAAAAAAGAAAAAAAAAAAGTTGGAACAAGCCCGAGTTTCAGTGCGGCTGTGGCTGCAGGCTGGCTGCTCCGCTGGAGTTTCACCGTTCACTGAGAAACAGGAGCGCAGAGACAGCGAGCAGCGAGGCAGGAGAGACGTAGACACCGCGGAGGGGGGGGGAGGGAGGAGGAGGGCTGCCTGACCTTAAACCTGAATACTCAAAACACCTTTAAGCGTCTAAAATCAATTCACCTCTGTTGACATGCCTCAAGTAAAAAAAAAAAAAAAAAAAAAAAAAAAAAAAAACAGTTTAAAGTCTCACCTCACCATACAGCATTTAAAATTGTCATGTGAACACAGATTACGTTTGAGCTGTCAAGACGTTTGTTTGGAATATAATTAAGTGTTTTGATCGAAAATATTTCTTCAGCTTATCGTTATTAGCTATTTCAGTTTAGGCAGAACACAGTTCTGCATGTTGCCTATCTGGGCCCGCTTTCAGCGAGCTCCCCTCCCCCACTCCTCGGCTATTTTTCGCTTGCCTGGTCAACCAGCGGTTGATTAATTCTCCTTTCGCCTTGCTCAGTCATTCAGATTTGGAAAGTAAATAACAAGTTGACATCAGTGTGACACATTCCTTCGGTTACCGTAAAAACCGCCGCAGCGGCGCAGCGCACATTTTTGTGCCACTGCCACCAATACTGTGCTTGTTTCAAGTAGCCTAAGCCAAACCAAGCGCGTGTAAGCAAATTGATGAATGGACTAACTGGGGACAACGCTCTAAAATAAAATGTTCTAGATAAATAAAATGAAATAGCTTCCCCTTTTATGTACTCTATGTTTAAATGCTGTAAGCGTATTGTGAGCACATTGGTCAGAGCGAGAGCAGTTCAAGCTCATGTCACTGTTAGAGGTTTTAATAATTGCTACGTCAAGTGTATCGAATGCAAACTTTAAACTCATGATATAGTTCAGTGTCTCTTCCACCATCAAAATACAGGCCTATACAAGTCAAATACATTGGTCTCCAAAAAATAATTCTGCTTTTATGTGGAAAAGGCTAAACATATGATATATCCACCACTATCAATTGTTTTTATTCATTCTATAAACTTGTCTGGGTAGGGCACTGTAACCCACATTCTCATATATCTAGCGTGAATCGAGGGTGTGGAACTCAAAGTGGTCAGTGTGTCTGGAGAGCAATTACTTTTGCTCTGACCATTTCCTTCCGTCTTTGTGGAACTGGCCAGAAAGGAAATACATTCCAATGCTCTCTGGATGTTTTAAAGTGATCAAATAATCATTAACAAAAATAATCAGACAGTAGCAAATGTCATCAGTTTTACATCAGGATTCAAACATCCAGCATCTGTAGATAAGTAAATTCTCATGATCACAGACAGAGCATTTGCATAATGTAACATAAGAATGAATAAATATTGTTAATTGAATATTTGTTACTAAGTATTGTGTCCACGCTACTGTTGCAGTGGCATAGGTATGCACGACACAAAATCATTTATAGTTTATAGTAAACAGCATTAAATTTGGATTTTAGCCATTGTAGTCATAAAAATATGAGGAAACCACATTCCATATTCAGTTCTTTGTTATGAGTTTTTCACATATCGATGTCCAAGCAATTTTTTTTATCTTTGAAAAATAAATAATTGCATTACACTTAACATTTTTATATTTACTAAATAAACAAAATCATTTTAATGACTTCAAAATCTTGGTTGTGCCTGAACCTTGTGCTTTCAGTTTTTTGATTTACATCCTATTCTTCATGAATCGGTGGATTTACTTCTGACATATAGTAAAATTGTCTGTCAGTTTTAGTGTTTTTATTCCCTCAAAAATGTGTGATTCTTGACTTTCTAGATTTCAGCTGAAGCTTTACTTGGTGTTCTCAAGCAACGGGATGAAATGTATTATGCTTGCTTGAACTTGATCTAAGAACAGCAAAACAAAACTGATATTAGATATAGTTTGTCAGCTTATTATACATCTGAGCAAAAGTAGGTAAGTAAAAATGCACTACTGGATATTCTCTTAAAAAAAAACATTGCATATAGAACATCGTCATATCTCTAAATGATTCCTCTGTGCTCAATATTTGCAAATATTTTATATTGATAATTTTCTCCCAAGACAGTTGCAGGAGAAACAATGAAAACAAACATACAGAGTGTGACATCTACATGTCAGTTAGCCAGTGTTTCCTGTCAGATGGATTCCCTGAAGTATAAGATGGGAAGTGTGCAATCATCTCCTCTGTCTTGGATTCACAATTCTTCAGTCTACCACAATCTGTTTGGAGCTACTACCTGTTCCTGCTACTTCAAGTTGCCGTCACGCCTCAGTAAGATCAGGGGATTTTTCCACTTGGGGCAGTTTTTCTTTTTCATTTGACCAATTTTCATTTTTATTTTTTATAGAAAGCAACCTTTCTCTGGGACTTTGCAAAGTTCTCACTTTCACTTTAGCCTCATATCAACCCTGCATACCAGTCTTGTCACATTTTACTGAAAAACATCTGAGCTCATTGTCTGGTGCAACTGGAACCACATCTGCAAGCGCACTTAGCGTTCCGCTGTCTGATTCTATCAACAATCCCAACATATTAGAATTATATTTAAGCCCAAACATTCTTGTCTCCTTGTCCTTCTATTACATGTAGTGTGGTAGAGTAGCTTCCTGCCACACAGCCGGGACTGACCTCCCTAACAAAGAACAGGTTCAGTCTGCCTCCCCTCCCCCAACTGGGGAAGCTGATGAGGGTCACATGGCCTTTCTAGACAGCACTGAGAAGCATTGGTGATATGTCGAGGTGGGGGAGGGACGCTGGCAGTCACACGCCTCTTGTTGTGTCATTTACCACAGGGGATAGATCACTCTGCAGCAGGGGAATATACAGTGGAGTGTCTGGTGTTAGATTTTCCTTTTTTTTTTTTTTTTTGCTGTAAACCAGCAGTCTGAGGGACCAGAGGAAGAAGAAGAAGAAGCTTCAGTGAGATTATGTGTGTGTAAATAAAGCTTGTGGCATCAGATGAAAATAAGTAAGCCTTTTGTGCGTGTGAGTACACTATGTAACACCTCCCCCACTATCTCCCTCCCTTCACCCTCTGCAGCCATCTACAGCAGCTAGAAAAGCAGAAGGCTCTCTGTGGCGCACTGTTATGTCATAGCCTAAAGATCTATTTTTCAGACAAAGCAGACTACACAAAGAAAGAGGTCTATTTTCAGCTGCGAATGCCTTGATCTCTCATAATGCATGATGTATATGTACATGGTGTATTTATCACACTGAGCGGCCATCAGTTAAACAACAGTGTTTGATCTTTGTGAAATATCTGCGGTGCATCAGGAAACCACATTTCTACCCTTTGACACTTCTGAATTCCTGTTACGAAACAAGGAGGGGCAGGGAAGGCGGGAAAGCAGGACAGATGTCAGAGATTGAAAGGTTGGGGACAAAGGTCAAGGGTTGGTGACCTGAGCAGCCATAAGACTTGCCATTCCTGCCCCCTGACCCCCTCCTGCATAATAGCAGACAGAATCACTTTACAATCCTTTCTTACAGTGACATCTAAATCTAGACTTTTAAGATGGAGGCCAATCTTACTTTGGTCCAAAATCTTCCTTTCGATATGGTGGAAGTGAACCAAACTGTGTATGAGGTAGTAAACATAGCACAATACCAATAGTGTAGCAATATTTTTTGTCTTTATTGTTAACGGTTATTTTTTTTTAGTTTTTTTGTCTTTGGATGAGGAATATATCACTGCATGCACTTGGCAAAATTAGTGCTTTGTGAACATTTTCATATGAAATTTATAAGCATGACAGTATTTTGTTGAGATTTGATTGAAAAATGAAAAAGTAGAAGCAGAAGGAAAATCAAAACTTTAATCAAATGAAAATTTTTAAAGTGTGCCATCCATTTGTTTGTAGAATATATGATTCATTACTTCAGTACTGTGAGATGTCCAAAGCTTGGGTTGTTGTTATTGTTGTTTAACATAACCTTGTGCTAAGCCTTTCTACAACTTTGTCTCTGACCTGTTTGCTGTGTTTCTTGGTCTTTATTTTGTCCACTATTGTTCCATTACAAAGAATTTGCAGGAAATATTGAAATTAAATTACACAGAGATGGACTGTATTTGCCAGTCTGTTTATTTGTAACGGGAGATTACAAATAAACAGTAAATTTATGGCATTTATTTATGGCATCAAAGTCATTTGGGTAAATAAATGTCACTTCTTTGTTCACTTGTGTTTTTCAGAGACCTCTTTGAGACAATTTAAGTGTAGGTGGAATCTGCTGTCAACTAATGCTGAGTTCATTTTGTCTCCGAAGTGAGAAAGACTTCATGTCATGTTCAGAGCCTTCTAATCAGAAAACAGCAGAACTTTCATTTCTATTTCCTTTCATAAAACATAAAAGAAACATGTTCAGGCCTATATCTTAAAGCACCAATGAGTGCTGCTCCTTTAAAGCGATACTAACCATCAGAAGTCCTGATGAAAAGATACAATCAGCCTAATTTTCTACATTTTATATGTGCAGCAGCCATTTTGGATGCTATCCTTGGCTAGGTACTGTCTGCAATGGTGAACTCAAAAAATACCAGCTCTGAGTGCTATAACCAGTCAACTTCTAACACAACTTCTTTTCACAAGATTTTGTTAGGAGGTTTCAGAGAATAGGGGTTAAAAGATAGATAGATAGATAGATAGATAGATAGATAGATAGATAGATAGATAGATAGATAGATAGATAGATAGATAGATAGATAGATAGATAGATAGATAGATAGATAGATAGATAGATAGATAGATAGATTTTATTACACAGACTCAAAATCCAAATATACATAAAAAAGAAAACAAAAACGATAAAAGAATAAAAAGAGTGCGTTAAAAAAATGGCAACTAACCCGTCAGGAGGCAATCATACCAATGTCTCCAAAGTATAGATGAGT